GTAATGCTTTGCTATGCATTAGTCTAATGTGCAGTAAAGCATCTCATGTAACTACACCCTCTGTGAAAGTCATGGCTCCCTCCCTGCCCTTTTTGCCTTGGGGCCATGTTGGCTGGTGTCTGGCCATGGCCCCGCCCTACTGTTGGACCAGGGAGTGGGGAATGACCCAGATAGGGCAGCAGATCCTGTGATGTTTTCCTGGGGAATGCAACCGGTTTCTGGTAGGGAGCGCTGTGCTTCAGGCTTTGGGGGTTGAGATAAATTTTGGGGTGGCTCTAGTCCCCTAGGCTTCCCCTAGTGCTGCCACTGCTGCTTGCCCTGTACAGTCTGCAGCAGCGCATCCCCTCACACCCAGAAGAGGCTTACGCTCCCTGGGATACCATCACATGGGCTGCTGCCCCATCAGGGTCACTCTCCCTTCGCCAGTCCTGTGTCGGGGTGGGGGCATGGGCCCCTGGGGTGAAGGGGAAGGGAGGGGTTTATTCCCTCCTCTGTCCCCTCTTGTACCAGGGAACCCCAGCTGGGGTCTGCCTGACTGGGTGGTAGCAACGGTGACCAGCGGAGGTGGCAGCTGGGGCTGGAAGACCCTGGCTGCGGTCTCCCGGGGGAGAGGGGATGGAGGGGGGAATAAATCCCCTCCCTGCTCCCTTTGCCTCAGAGGGTCATGCTGGCTGGCTCTGGCTATGCCTCTGCCCCTGCTGCTGCAGCAGAGGGGGGTGAGTGACCCTGACACAGCCTGATGTGCCATGGCCAGGCAGACCCCACCTAGGGTCTGTGCTGGTAGGGCAGGGAGGGGGGGGAGAGGGGAATTAAACCCCTCCTACCCCTGTTCACTTGAAGCTACTACCAGGGCTGGCCATGTCCCCTACTGCTCCAGTGACATGGGGAGGAGAGAAATGCCTGATGAGCTACTCTGCTCTGGCCAGGCAGACCCTGGGGGGAGAAGGAAGGGAGGGGGGAATAAATCCCCTCCCTGCCTCTTTGCGTCAGGGGAGCTATGCTGGGCCAACACCTATCCGTGCCCCTGACCCTGCCACTGCAGCAGTGATTGGGGGGTGGG